AGACTGATAATAATCAGTCTCGAATCATCGCGCATGGTGGTGGCATTGAAGTGGGTATGAATCACTTTGGGGATAGGAGCCCGAGCTGCCACCTGAGTACTCGGGGCTCCATTTCTGCCAGTAGGGCGTTCCACGCCTACTGGAACCGCTCGTTTTTTGGCGGGACCACCGACGACACAGCGTCTCCTCGTGAGACAGCTGTGTTCATCGTCACCGGCGCAGGTGCTCGAAAGACAGCCGCACGATGGCCTGTTTTACCACAGCGAAACCACTTCATCGTGTTAGGATTGCGAATGTCGCGGCTTAATGATTTGCCGCGACCACGAGAGGACTCAATTGCATCAATTTCCATTGGCTCTGGGCCAGACGTCCGGGAATGTTGTGACGCTGCGTACAGGTACGACGACGCGACAGTGTAATCCTCACGAAGCGCGAGGGCAAATGCCTCCTCGAGGGACTTTGGCTCAGCACGTGTGAGGCAGTAACGCGTCATGCCCTTTTGCGTACCAAAAATAAAGACATGGACTTGTGAAGCCATGTCAATTGGCTGCGTGGTAATGCACGAAGCAAGATGACGTGTCTTCTGCACGTAGTCACGCATCGACAGCTTGCCCTGTCGGAGTGAGAGGAAATCTGCACGCAAGCGAGATTCATCTTGAGGAGGCTCGAAAGCCAGTCGTAAGTCACGCTGGATATCGTCCAGCGTAGGAAACGCCGACTCATCTACAACGAGCTTCCCGAGATCCCATTCCTTGGCTTTGCCAACAAGCCAAGACAACAGGAAATTGACCTTGGCCGTCGGAGCGTCAACTAAACTTGACGCTATTGCAATATCCACCTCGAGAAACCAGCGATTGAGGGGGAGACGATCCGGACCATCACCGGAGTACGTTGACGTCTCCATCTTGATAGCGTCATGGTGCGAAGTGCGCGAGGGAGTCAATACTCGCCGATTCTCGTCGGCGAGCTCGCGCACCATAAAGTCTTGGATGGCGGCACGTTGATCATCGGGCGTCGCTGTGCTCAGCAGCGACGTCACAATAGTTTCGCCAGACACCGCCACAAGGCGATGTAGTGCCTGCCACTCTACCGAGGTAAGATGTGGAAAATCAGAATGCTCCAGCGAGACCGCTGCCACCGAAGACTCTTCCATGTTCATCTCGAATCTGGTCATTGGAAGGACTACGAAGTGCTACCAGGTGTAACGGGCTAAGGACCCGTTACCGTCTTACACTAAAATAGCGTTGAGGAAGCGCTCTTAATTAACTCGTAAATGTAACTCTGTTTTATTTTTGTTTTCGTTATAATTTGCAGTAAGTGCGAATGTGTTCCCTAGCTCATGGGAAACACTCAATATGGAAGTCAATTTATTATTGGTTTATTTTTGGTTCTGGCACCCCAATAATAAACCAAAAATAAAATGACGCGCAGTATCCACTAATCGGATACTGCCCTATGCCTACTGATGTAATTATGTATTAATCCTATAACTACTCATGCATTTTTTAAGGTTTTACCATTACAAATCGTCTCACTAGCGCCGAAACGGCGGAAACACATTCTTCATACCCCTTAGCTACTGTCTGGGCCGTCCGTGACGCACTAGCTTCAGACATTTTATAACAAATGAACAGGTCGACCCAAATTAGTAGGTCCTTGTTCCTATGTACGTTTGGGAAGAGATGGTATATGATCCATCGTGATGATTTGGAAAGGGTACGTCGCTTCAACATTCCCCAAAGACTTCCCTTGTAAAGTGGGCCTCACTTTCCTAGTCTCACAATCCATGGATTGACCCACATATGTCTGAACGCTCCGAAATAGACCCCTCCAATGACAATATCGTCGAATCCGATGATAGGTACGCCCGATTCCCTGATGAACGCCCTCCAAACTTGTATGATAGTGATGAAGAACGTCGGCCTGGAGACTCTCGGGTATCACCAATCTAGCAGTTAAATCTCGGTCGTCTCCCTTGATCCTCTGGCCGGGGCAGTAAACTAGCAGTGCTTCTTCGCTTATCTCGTATCCACCGGACATCTTACTACACATTCGGCCAGAGGTCTTCCCAGCCTCCCTTTAATGTATATCTTTTAATAGTGTACCCAGCTCTCTTTTTCTTGCGTTTTATGGAGTCGATCCACCCGAAGTCGTTGTATTACGTCTCTTTGCATAACTTCTCCGGATACTCTGACGGGGAACCATAACCGCGTCACCGCGGATATCTTTACAGGCGGACTACGGTCTTTGAGAACTAACACTGCTGGCAGCCGATTGATCGCTTCTAGACCTGACCTCTTTTCCTACGGTATCGACTCCGCCCATCGCTGCTGGTGTAAATCTGTGCTGGTCAACTGATCCGCGCTCTGATTCCAGTCTCGTCTCACATGTAAGCCTGAATAGGGGGGACACAAGTGGAGCGCGATTAGCGCCTTTGCCCGTAATGGGGATAAACCTAAAGTATTACACTCTATCTCTTCACGCAGCTATTATACAACCAAACTAGAATCTCTAGAAATGATCAGCCGCTGTCGCTTTAGAGACTTAAACAAGTCAAAACCCAACAACATGCCTTCATATTTGGCCTCACTCATTGTAGATTTGTCGAGATATCTCGACGCAGCTTCGACTACAGTCCATGTAGGAAGTCTCCATACAATAGCGCTACAGGCGCCTCCTCCTTGCTTCTCCCGAGCCAACCCATCGAAACTCATTACATACAGTCCTTCGTACGGTTCCACTAAGGGCATAAGCAGGTAAATCGTCTGTCTCGCTTTCTTCCTAGATTCAACTGACGACAGAATTGAGTCCACGCTTTCTTGAGGCGTAATGCTGGCTGCCAGCGCCCCCCCCCCCCGCACCTGGTCTTCGCTTTCTTGCCCTTCACAATCTCTAGGGTCCACTGGGTTAAAAGAGCGGCCCAATTTTTTAAGTGACCTTGCATCCCGAATAATTCACTAGCCAGGCTAGTGTAGAATGTCTCGTCAAAGCCTTGAGGGGTCGGGTGACCAACATCGTCTAACAAGTCTCCAATATTCGTAACAACGCCAACACCTCCTTTTTTACTGTGCTATACTTCAGCTCATGCGAATCGAGGGTCCGGCTCGGTCCATCAATTTTAATCTAGCATGGCGAACGCCACTTAAACCTTCGACCATTTTTCTTCATCTTCTCCTTCAGTTTTCATGCTATCGCTAGCCTCCAATTGGTACGTCTACGAGTGGAAATACACTTCTATAAATTCGTAAAGGATCTACGCGTATATGGCATAATCTTCGATATATCTACTGTAGTAATTTGGGCTTCCAAGAAATAATTGCATAGTGTTCAGCGTTGTTTGTAAAGATAGGTCGACCAAAGATTGAAGGTCCTTTGGGAGGGCTTCTAGTCCCTCCTTGGACACCGGATGTCCAAGGTAATTGACCTTCCGACATCCACACAAGTTCTTGACTGCACTAATCGACTTATTCCAACAATTGCACACGTCTAGCAACCAATCCATTTTCTGGCAAAATGTAGCACACGATTCAGCAAAAATCAATATATCGTCAATGTATGACCGTCGACTCAATATCGAGGGACCTTGCTTGACATCCGGTTACCCTATAGCAAACACATCTTATTAATGGTTCCTGGATAAACTCGTATGAACCCTTAAAACGTATGATCCAACAGCCGCTGGTCCATCTGAGGTGCTTTCTTGAGCCCAAAGGGCATCCAAAGCCAATCAAATAATACTACGGCGTGACGAACGCCGAGTTCATCCTCTTATCCTTTCCTCTCGGTCATACTGACGTCCAAACTCACTCGCCATGTCAAGAGAACAATTATATGAAGCTCCATCTTGGTCTCCCAATAATTTGTTAGTTAACGGCATGGGGTAGACCATAAGTCGAGTAAGATCATTCATCAACCGATATTCGATGCACAATCTGATGTTCACCCCACTCTTCTTCACGATGATTACAGTTGGGCTGGACAATGGCGAGGTGGTTGGCTGAATAATATTTGCTGATATCGGTCACTTCATCAGGTCGGCTAATTTCTTTTTGAATTGAGGGGCCACCTTCCGTACACATTGCGCAATCGGTCTCGCATTCCCCACATCGATGTCGCATATCGCCCCTCGGGCGGCTGGAGGCAAGGCGTTACCTTTCTCCACAAACAGATGTCGCTTTCTATGTTATCTGTTTTAGCCGGTCCACCTCATCAAGTTTATTCTCATCCGGATCAGGACCTGTTGATAGATCTGTATGTCTTTAAACACAATACTTTCAGGTAAAAGGTCCACTTCTGGTATGATAGCCCATCCTTATTTTATGTCCTCGGCCCAAAGTTCTCCACTCTCGAAAGTACACACCTGATCTCTTTCCTGTGACAAGTCTCCCAGTTTGGCTTGATCGTCATTGGTAGTGGTCACGGTATGTCGGTCTTCTTTAAAAGTACTGATAACTCCTTTATTCTCACGAGTTTAATTCTATTAAGTCCGATTCAGATTTAAATTTGAAAAATCAAAATGACACGTCCTTGGCTGGCAGAGGGGATATCGACTTCGAAGCTTGCTCAAGAGGCTTCTGGGGATGTAGGTAATAATGATAATGAATTAATTAAACAACCATAAGTCCTATCGTTCTTGATTAAACTTGCGTCATAATCTGTAGACTGTGGCATGTCAGGTATCATCAACTGTTTTTTATGTCATAAACTGTCTGTCATAGCAACTGGCATGTCAAAAATGGTCAGTGTTTGTTCGGTTACTCACATCACACAGGATGCAAATAGTACTGTGTCAGGCACTTCTGCTGTATCAGAATCTTGGGCTTACAAACATATACATTTAATTAGAGCAGCCAGGAAACTACAATGGCCAATATCAACCAATGGTGAGGCAATAATTAATCCGATCTGTGAATATTATACTTTAGTCTTCTGTGATATAGTCTGTAATATGGTCCAAGATGTGTTTTTGGCTCAAGTATTGCTTCAATTCATCGACAAAAATGGAGCTGCTCTTTTCCGGCCGATTCATGGCTCTAACGGCAGACGAGACACACGTGCAGATCCAGGCGGAAGCCGTTTCATTCTTGCAGCGCTTGACGGAGCCCCTGCTCGTCGTGAGTTTTCACGGCAAGACGTCGCTTATCCGCAGTCTCCTACGCGGCGTGGGTGACGAAGCAGCCGAGTACAGTAAAATACATATCTTCACTGTATTTAGAAATAGTCTAATTCTAACTTTTAAAATGACTATATTCTAAATGCTGCAGAGGCGTGTGGCTCTATGTCAAGCGTGTGAACTTTCCAAATGCCAAATATTTGGCAATTTTGGATCGACCGGGGTTCGGAGACTCGGTGAGAGTTATGCAAATGGCGCTTTGTTGTGCTTTGTGTGTGGAACTTACATTCCATGGTATTGTGTAATGTTCATGTTTCTGTGTAGCCTGTGGAAGTGCTTTTATACTCGATCCTGGCGAGTCTGAGCAGTGTGGTAGTACACCATGTGGATGGTCACTTGACTGCTAAAGCAGTAGACCAATTTGCGTTTCTCGCGTTTAAGGAAGACAAGAGCGACGCATCACCGAAGTACGGTGAGAGCTACGTTATTCATGGCGATTTTTCCTTCCTCTCAGTTTAATTTATTATTTTCGCACTTTCATAGCTTTTCCTCAAACCCCGAAACTACTTTGGGTGCTGCAGAATGTTACTACCAGCGAGCTGAAGGAGCAGGTGCAGGAGAGTGGATTGTCTCTTCAGGAGACTGAACATGCATACTTGTGCAAAGCGTTGGCCACACTACCCAAGGATTCACCAAGTGCTGAATTAAGCAAGCTTTTTAAGTCTGTATTTCCTGAGCAAGGGTTGTACGCTGTCCCACCAAGAGAGTCAGATGCATTCGAGAAGCGAATGAAAAAATTGCTGCGGGTTTTTACAGATTCGATACACAATCGATATCTAAAAGGGATCGTGTTAAATGGACCACTTCTAAGTTCAATCGCGGTTTCGATGCTTGCTCGTCGCGAAGACGTATTCAAGGTATGTTTTGGTACATATGCATAGTGCATTGATAAGCTTGTTCTTAATGTTCATGCACACCATAGGCTTTTCAGGGTCAAATTTGGAAGGATCTGATTTACAACTGCTGCCTCAATGTTGTCGAAAATGGAGTCAAGCTATATAAGCTTCGGATGTCCGAAAGGCTGGGCATCATTGTCGACACGTCAGACCTTAAGGATTTGAAGCAGGCGCTTCCTCCTGCTCAAGAAAGCCGAGAAGTAGTCGAAGTCGGTGTAGAGTATCGATAGCATTTGTCAAACTGCAACTGACCTGTCGCATTGTGAATTTGTACTCTGTAGCTACCATGTGAAAACGAAACTCTTCTCGACGCGCACGATTCTGCAAAATATGAAGCAAAAGCAACTCTTCGCACGATGCCTGTTCGATCCGGAAAACTCAGCTCATTGCTTAAGGTATCGCCTCGTGGCATGTGGAGTCACACTATCTTTGTCGTGTATATATTACTGATATCGTTTGTGCAGAAATTATTTTGTGACAAAGTGTGGTCTTCGTTCGCCACGATTCAGGATGAGAACAACCGCATTTCATCTGAAATATGCCAATCATTGCTCACTACACTGCACATTAAGATGACAGACAAAGTCGATGCGCATTTCAACTTGGGTACTCAAAATGAGGAAGACTCTTTTCAGTCGACAGAACTTGAGGTATGAACACGCTTCCACGCGTCGACTAGGTGGTAATCTAATATTGTCTTGCTAATTATATTGCAGAGATTTTATTACCATTACCAAACGAACCTGTTTGAATTGCTTGCCAAGTATAGAGACCAAGCTAAGGGGCCTGTCAAGGTAGTCCATAAACTGACTTGTATAGCACTATGCTTTGAGTTGACTGCGTTGACATATGTACTCTTGTTTAACATGTATTTGCTTACAGAAAGAAGAGCTTTCCAAGTTCATGCACAATGTTATCAGGCCACAGCTCGCTGAATATTCGGATAAGCTGGAAAGTATTCGCCAGTATAACGTGAATGTGGTCGAGCATGCGATCGGTCACAAAGAGGATGAAATCGAGAAATTCAACGCTAAGCAGAAAATGTACCTAAAGCAGTCAATGGATGCACAAAATGATGTCGATCGACAGCTAGTCGAAGGTGCTAAGCTTCAGGCGGTAAGCTATGTATCCCACCGAAAAGATGACAGAGTGCTCTGACACTCCTTAAATTGCATGTAGCTGCGGAAAGAAGCGCTTGTTGGAGCTATCAATGACCTGACCAGGATGCACACGATGGCAACTAAACAGAAGGAGCTACTGGAAGCGGCTGCGTTCGTTTCGGTTTGCGGCCTTGTCTCTGATGTACTTCTGGGAATTAGAACTGTATGAACTAATTATAAACTTGTAGGTCCAACTTCCCGAACAAAAGGTCATTGAAGCTGCTCAGGATACAGAAGTCACGGAGCTGCAGGGCTACCTGATCAAGCAAGGTGGTGGTGGAAATGTACTCAACCCGCTTGGCAGAAAGAACTGGAAGCAACGGTACTTCATTCTCATCGGTGCTGACTTAATTTACGCAAAGACGAAGGACGATTACGAGCGTGGAAAGATTATCAAGGAACTCAGCCTAATTGGGTGGGTTGAGACTTTCTTTTCGAGCATGCATTACTGTAGCCAACAGCACGAATCGTTAACCCTTGTGTACTACTTCATAGATGCCGCGTTGATCCCTCTCGCGATGCGGGTGAAGGATTCAATATTACTCCAGGTAAATCCGCACACGTGTTTGCGTTGCAACGAGGCTTGTTCGAGAAAAATAGTAAGAAGCGCTCATTAGCGGCAGACAGCGGTCGCATTTTCAAGCTGCGTGCTCAAAACATTCAAGAGCGTGACGTGTGGATTGAGAAGCTACGTGAAGCGGCTGGAGGCAACTAAGGCCTGCTTGTTCAGGTGAGCTTAATGACGCGGATCAATGACAATGATTTTAGCTTCAGTGACCAATCTCCGTTTTCGATCTTGTCACTCTTCAACTGTTCAACCCTAGCTCCGTGAGAAGGCAGGCATCTTGGATCTCCCCTGCAATGAGTTTAAGAAAATTGCTTTCCCTCTCATGATTGAATGCGACGTCCACTGCGTCCTCGAACCTATCGGTATCACGCAGTGAATCTTGCGAGCCTCAAGGAAAAGCGAATTTGGACTTCAATTCCAACAACTTCTTGCTTTTTTCTGCTGACGACATTACTGATGGATTGCAACATCTCTCGCCGCACATGCTTAATGAAGTGATCGTACTCTCTTTCATCTTGCTAACGCTGCATGCGCTTGATAAAGCTCGGTGATTAAAAGCCTTGTCGAGATGCAACTACGCATGACTTTGCAACGCTCGTCACGCATCATCATCAGTAGCATTGTCAGCGTCATAATTCCTGGGATGGTTTACAATCTCTGATTCATATTCAGGGAGCAATAACACATGCGTTATATGCCGCGTAAAACTTAACGTTTGTGATAAGCTGCTAGGGAAACACGCCATCTTTCAAAGCCAAACAAGGTATCACACCAGAGCTGCCTCCACAAAAGCTTTGATTACTACCAATTGTTTTCATACGAGCCGCAGTCACTCAAGATGTCGAGATGTTTCGTACTTGAAAGACTTTGATTCAGATGTTAGCGACTACCAGTGCAGCAGCCGAGGAGTTTGGAAAACCAAATTTTATGCAGCAGCAGGCAGATCGACAAACAGACGTATAAAAAATGCGATCATAATGTCGTTCCATCATGTCGATCTCACATTTGACGATAGTCTCAATTTCACAAGCAAGCCATTTCCACCTCAGACGTCCTAGTGCTCAATTTGAGCCCTACGACTTGATCTTGCTCGCAAAATGCTCCGCGATACTGAAAGCCAATTTGTTAAAACGCCAGCTACTTCATCTTAAGGTAAAGCCTGAGCGACATCCACACATTGTAGTGTCATAAGAAGCTAGTCCCTTGTGGCGCATATTTAACTATGTCACTGTTGGTTGTATACATGGCTCGATACGGCTCCACCAAATTCATTGGAAACTGGGCCAACATCATCGTGAACGTCACGAACACTGTTCAGTGATATTGGCGCCAAATGGCGAGTACATGACTATATGTTCGAGCTCGAATTGTTTATAAAACACATCGACTGCTGCGTTTGATGATCTGTGGATCGGACTTTTCTAACCTCTCATATACATCTTAGTGTTCAAAGCCCGAGCACAGGTGTATTTCCAAGTAGCCAAAGGTGGTCGATCTTTTTCAGACGAAGTGTCTCCAGCGCGATACCCCCTAGTGCTGTCCAACTTTTCAAATTACATTTTCTCAGTCATTACCGGCTGCGCACATGCTGTACATATTGGATTTTACCGAGCGGGCAACATACATGGTAGTCTATTGTATGCCTGATCAACAAGCAGGGTGGAATCGCTAGCGCAGGCTACATTTAAAATCGTGTTCTGCATCCTCCTGTTCAACATCTTAGGGCTTTGTTGTGTCCATAAATGAGCGATTGTCTGGCGAGAGTAGCAGACCGTCTTGACAAGCAAGACCTCACTTCTCACGTATAAAATTGGCTTCACTGATACGCTTTCCTCATGTTGATGAAGGAGGACTCTCATCGACTTGGCAGGCTTGTCTTTTGGAACATGTTCTGCAAGGTGGCCTGGAATGGACTCGACGAAGATGAAGCTCCTGAGTCGACTATGGTTCGTATACTTGGCTGCTGTTAGGACTGCGACAACCAAGGTGCAACAGCTTGGGGATCAAACGCAAGCACAAAAGCTTTCACCTTATTTGAATCCGGTGCTATCGTATCAAACAGCCATGACCAAATACAACTCCGTGGCGAAAATTGCTAACGCTTTTCGTATACCGATGTGTTCGAGAAAGTACATCGACTGCACTGATGTGCTCGAATCGGAGACGGAAGAGGGCGAAGCTGTCGAGGTTGTCAAGAGGCTCACGGAACGCCAGTCCAAAGTAGTAGCCTAGTCTCGATTGTCACCGCCTTTACTGTCCCTTCGATATCTTTGGTCAACGAAAACACTACAGCTAACGCCAAAGTGGGTACAATCAAAAGTGAATACAAAGCGTATCTCCATCATGACCGCTACAAAGCACACAGCGAATACGGATAGTAATGTATATTGTATTATCCTGTTCCAAACAAAACAGTGTAAAGCAAAAGAAATGTAAAGCCCAAAATGGTCGGGTATCGCGTCGCCGGCTGCCGAGCTCACGATAGACGCGATGGTTGGAGGTGGTCGCTCTGGTTCCATGTCTTCTGTCGTCTCCCTTGGCCTTACTTGGGTCAAGGTGGATGTATAGGAACTACTTGGTCGGATTTTCTGTTGAACACGACAGCTCCACTAGAGGAAAAAAGATATACGAGGCAGAGAGCAAGACAACGAATCAAAGCTGGAAGCTGGAGCAATATGCGTTCAATCCGCTATCACCACTCGTCCCAGCTATCAGCTTAGCTGTAACATCACTCAACACCGTCTCGTTTGTTTCTTGAATTGGTTGATGTAATTTACTGCATAGTAGTCGAAACATGTTCAGGGGCGACCTCGTCCGAATTAGTATTGCGTGCTATGTATTGACGCAGGTTACGCACGAAGCAAGAAACTTCGCTGATGGAGCCCTTGTGGATAACACTAGAAGGAAAGTAGCCCTTGATGTCCATGTTGAGAATCCAAATAAGACGGCTCTTGAATGGAGATGTCGGGTGTGGCAGGATGACCCATCCAGTCGGGCCGTTCTCGCCACGAGTAATACCCTTCTGAGGCTTCAAAACGTTCTTTCCGGCGTAGCTGTTGGCAATAACGTACCCGCCGCCATCCTGACGACGCCATGTCCGTGTGTTCACAAAGTCGCGGCTAGAAATCATGCCGCCCAAAGCAGGGGCCGAAGTCAGGTGCACCAGATCAGTGGTCTCATCTAATTTGCAGATAATGTTGCTTTCAGCTGCCGTCACATTCCAGACATTGCTAGTCTCCAAATTCGTGTACAGCTCATCAAAGAGCTCGTCTGGCGAGAGTGGAATTTCGGCCTCGCACTTGTAAATACGCGACGGTTTACCGTCTCGCGAGTAAACTGTAACGTTCTCTGTTGTGGGAACCTCCTCCGTCCACGCCGGGTCCTTTGTCACCTCCGTGTTGGCCAGTTCCAGTACTTTGTCCAATGATCGTTGCGAGCTCGCAATGAGCTCATCGCTCTGCACCGCTGTAATCTTCACATCAGCATACTTGTTTTGTTCAGTCTTCTTCGCCGTGTCCGTCGAGGTAATGATTCGCTCGTCCGTCGCATTTAGATCCATGCCACTAAAAATATTCTCGGCATCTTCCAGATCCGTGACGCCGTCCGTGAAGTAGCGGGCGGCATTCATCCTCGTGACGACCTCGTACACATTCTTGACAAAACCAGCCAGTAATATCCAGACGGCTGGATTGGACATGGCCACCTCGCCCTTTAAAAACCAAAAAGCGGCCGCGAAACCCACTACCGAAGCCAACAAGAAGCTCAAGCTGCTATCATCCTGTTTCTGCGGCGGCGTCAGTGTCTTCCGGACCTTCTTGTCCTGTTGCTTCTTGACCAGCAACAGTTCCTCCGTCGTTGTCGCACCTTGAGCACTCTCCTCCTTGGCACGAAAGCGTAATGAGTCGTCGGAATCATACAATACAGCGCTGCTGTGTGCGTGGATTGCGCACGGGTCGCACACGCGCTGGCGCCGCGGGATCTCGCCCGGGTTCGTAGCTAGCACCATGCGTGTGCGTGAGCAGGCATGGCAGAAGATCTCACCACACACGCGGCAATGATGGCGGCGGTTAACGAGAGAAAACACGCGCTCGCACTTGGCGCACGTACGCGCAGCCACGTCCTCCACCCAACGGCCTGACACCGTATCGCGAGAGGTCATGTCCATACCGGCGGGAGACCAGCTGCTGGACGCCGTAGATACGTTCGAATATGAACGCGGGCGCATTACGAGTCGTGAATCACGAGTCTCTGTCTTCTTGGTCGCTACTCGTTCCGCTCGAGCGGATTGGGCTGCGCTTGAGGGCCGCACACACATTCTGGTAATGCTTTAAATAGAAGGACACTCAATGGCGTTGAGCACAAAGGTGACTTTTAAATACTGAACACAAGTGAAGAAAACAAAGACAGATGGATGATGCCTTTTCTATGTGAAAGACCATTTAGTAGCAGAAAAGATACAACTTGACGACGCATAAGATGCAAACAGGTTCATTAATCCATCATTTAGGGAAGCGATTACGTGCTATGGCGAAAGTACTGTCGCTTTTCTGTGATTTTTGCTGTATGAAGGCAGTAATCATCGTTGTGTAACGCCATTTACGGGTCACGCACTTGTTTGCCAGCGCACAACACTTGAAGACACGATACCGACTTTTGTAGCGATCTCACGACGAAAGGCTCTTGTTGTACCGAATTGTGATAGATAAGGGACGACCGCGGATTGATGCAATTCTACGCGCCGTGCTAAGTCAATCACATCACCTGGCATCGCATATGATGGATGTAACAGCGATGTATACAGTGATCCTTCTCTCAAGCTCGGACTCAAGTACAACGCCACACACTACCACGGGGATGACCGTGACAATACCGATCGCCTTCAGTTTTCGCCTGTGTAGGTTGCGTGGTCGGTAGTTGCTTGTTCCTTCTTCATAGCGCGATACCGATAGTCGCTGCATCGCCCGCGTCTGTCGTATCGTCGTCTCGCTCCGCTGTTTCAACAAGGCCGGAGCTTGTAAGCGAGTCCCTCGCAATCAGGCGGGCAACGTTGGCTCAATTGCACACGAGCGCAAACAATCAGAGCTTTGGAGTGGGCGCATAGACGAAATCTTCGCTGCTCGACAAACGCGACTCAAGAAATTGTGCAGGACACTGCTGCTTGGCATGGGCATTCATCAACATATGATGCGTAAGTCTCTCTCCCAGCCGTCATGACGGACGCAAACACAGGTTTTATGTTATGGTGTGTGCCACAGTATTACATAAGTATTACTTACGTATTACTTATGTATTACATTTAGTCGGTCACAGCTTTATATGCATATCTTAGTTTAAGTATTCTATACTTACTTTTTTTAATGCAGCTCTGTAAGCAATAACAAAAACAGTTTCATTTTAATGTAAAAGTAAGGCTTGTTACTCTGGACACGTTGTGTAACAGGGCATCTAGTTACACGCAAACACTCAAGTAATATGCTTAATGTTTTGTCTAAAAGTATCTATGGTTACTTTTGACTTGTCACTTGGGTGCGATACACAAACGTGATCCACCCTCGTGAATGTGATATCCATTTATGGATTCACATGAGAAGGGATGACGCTAGTTGAAGCTAGGCATCGCGACGTCTCAGAAGGACGTCAGTTGCGATCTTAAATCTAGATTTAAGCTCATGCGTCAGGATACGCTTCTAAAGAGTCGCGTATCCGATCTGTATACATATATATCCAATCAGTAGTTAAATTTAATGTATAATTTAATTCATAAAAAATAGCTCAGTCTTGAATTTGCTAAATCAAAAGCACTGCGCACGAGAAGCTCTAAAAGCTTCTGCGTGACGCCGGTGACTTCTTGTTTTAGAATTTCGTTGCACTCTCGCTTAAGCGAGAGGCAACTGGTGGTACGACTGCTTAAGCAGTCGACCAACCGCATAACCACCCTCGCACGCGAAGGTAAGACGGTCTAACCGCTTCCTCGCTTGTGCTGAAGGTGTGTGCTAGTAGCACGAGGCAACTTCGTACAAGTGCCCGTCTACACTTAGTAGCACGAAGCAACTTCGTAGAAGTGCCCGACTACACTTGGTAACACTAGTAGTCCTTTGAACGACCCTCTGAGCGTGCGGGTGGTTAAGATGGTCCTTAATATGGACTGGAGTGACTTCCCTCACCTCTCCCAACATCATAGGGAGTTGGCAGAGCATATGGCGCAGGGACTTGGTGAACAAGCCCTAGTCAACCTCTTGCATTGTCCTCCTGAGCAACATGTTGCTCAGTTGGAGCAATTTGAGGCGTTTGTGCTCGGACAGCGTAGAAATGCGTTAGAGGTAAACAGCCAAGCCACCGCTGAGTCCATCAATAAGACTCAGGATGAGCTTAGGCTTGAGAATTAGTATGCGTCGCCATCGCCGCCACCCTAAGGTGGGGATGGGACACACCCCTCATTACACTATGGGGATTTTCGGCTATCGGGGCCTCCAGCCACCCAACTATCACACACCATATGGTGCGGGTTGGCAGGCGATCACCCATTGGGTGGTTTCTTGACGGATATATAAGAGCTTAGGCTTGAGCAGGCACGTAATGAGGCGCTCAACAGAACTGTTGAGACGCTCTCTGCCCGGCCTACTCAACCGAGACCTGTAACGGGGCTAGAACGTACCGCTACTAGCTTACACGTGCGCTTGAGGAAGACTCAAGCCCAAGTATTAGGTATTAAGTAAATTTAACTCTGATTTTTATTTTGGTTTTAATTCGTACTAATTACGAAGATTTTAGTCGTAATAAATACGACAGTGTTCCCGCCTTTCGGGAACCACACATTTTCAGGTTGATTTATCATTGGTCCATATTGGGGACTTT